ATTTTGCGTGGCTTTTTCTTTCAGAGGAGAAGGATGTTAAATAAGAAAAAAAGAAAAGCTGTTTTGGAGAATAAACGCTCTGGAAGCTTTATACCTTCTCAGGGAGTTCAAAACTTTAAAGGCATATAGTTAATCATCCAGGGAATAACTGTATTCATACTCAGGAAAATGTGATGCAAGGAGATGAATAATTTAAGTGTTTTATGGATATTTAAAAAATATTAAAAAGTCAATTATGTCATATTAGATGTAACAATATTATACATCATGCTTCATTAGAGGAGACTAGCGGTTGGTCCGTTTCCTTTTTTTTTTAATCTAATGGGCTGCAGAGCCTCTATTGATTTCTCACTGTGCCAGACGCTCTTTGGCATGAGGCAGCTTGTTGCGTATTCGTTTAGACATTGCATCTCGAATCATTACGTAGATTCGGGGTGGAATCAATTATAGATGTGGCAGAAAAACCCCCAACTGGCAGCGTCCTGACATGAAACACAACACAAATTCTAATTTCAGCTAACTTTTGGATTTCAGGAATCGCAAAATATGAAATAAAAAAAACAGATAAGGCGGACGTAATGCCTAAAACAACGCCGCCTCTTTGCATTACGAACAAAGCTACAGTATGTAAGCCTCTGTAGAATCCCATTAAACGGCCAAAACCGTTCAGTCTGTATCTCATTACTTCTCTGTCATGGCTGTGGCACCTCTGAGCCCGTTTGTTCCTTTTGAAGATCTTTTACAACTTTTTTTTGCAGATATACATACATATATACGGCTTCATCTGCAAGATTTGACTTGACTTGAGAAATATTAAATGTCACCCTATCACACACCAGAGGATTTCTCTGGGTGACAATGTGTTGGCATTTAATTAATAGGGGTTGCTGTGACCATCAGCTTGAATTGTGCTGACCAAATTGTTTTATGCATTATAAAGTATATGGATCTTTTCACAGCAGTGACCTATACGCTTTATTTTTTATTTAACAACAGGGAACTTTAAAAAAAAAAATTAAAAAAAGCTGTTTCCTTGGTGACCCGCCAGAATGTCATCAGGAGTTCTGTTCCAGGTTCCTAAATAGGCTCAACAATCAGAGCTCACACACTCTTCACCCCTTAACACTCTGTTCATTTGTGCGGGAAAATCAGCCGTGATTGAGCGCTCTCCAGTCTATCGTTGAACTTGCACTTGTGAAATTTTCGCTGTCGGTTCGCCTTTGTTCTGTATTGAGATATATAGCAACGAAAACATCAATGGGGTTTCTTGAAGGAAACAGACGAATCTACAGACCCATCAGGGTGTGCGAGAGTATTTTTGTTTTCGCTGGAGTTAGATGTTTTGATGTATTTTTTAAAGCTGACTAATGAGTAGCACTGTCTTATTTCTCTCAGAGGTGTTGTTTGATACACCAAAATACGATCGGGCTCCGAGGCTCTGCTGGAATATTAACAGCTACAAGTCTCAGGTCGGACCTACAATACCTCCGAGCCGAAAACCCACATAAAAAGCCAGGTAAAGTCTGATAAACTCTGACTTGTCGTGTTTAAACGTGACCTGTCTTCTTAATTTTTTTGTAGATTGCATTAATGGCGCAGCTCCTAAACCTTCAGGAGGAAAACCTGATCCCATGCCTGCTGAAGACATGATCGACTTGTTGAGCAAAAGTACCGTGAAGGAACGTTGAGACTTATACAGACTGTCCACCTTTTTACCTTAACCATCAATCTGTCTGTGAAATTGAAATAAACCCTCTGTTTTGTTTCTGTTTAAAGCATTTGGGGGCTTGAACTGAAGAATTAGAAGGATAACGACGTCAAGCCTCTTCTCATGCTGGCAAGACTAGAAACGGTGGGAAATTAATGGTAGTTTTGCAACATTACGCAGATTTTTCCTTTAAATATGGTAAAAACTGCATATCTACTTTCTTGTTTCAGGTGTGGGCAGTAAACATCAGCAATAAAATGAGGGATGTTGAGTTTGAAGCCAAGTCCCCAGAGGCCTTACCTCGATATTTTCTGTAAATCACATTCGGCACACATTCGTTAACAGTTAAACTGCAGTGTTTTTAAAATTCTGTCATACTCTGAAGGGGTTTATAATTTTATTTGATTGACTGCAACCTACAGAGATCCTAAAGTCCTCAGCGTTACTGTGCTGAGTGCCTGAGAGAGAAGCAGCAGCAGGAGGCACCCAGCTCCACACCGCTCAGTCCACAAGAAGTGGTGATAAAGGTAGTTCCCGGAGTCCTGCTGGGCTTCTGGTTGCTTCCCTCTCGTCCCCTGCTAAACACGCCATCCCAGAAGCTCAGCAAACTGTCTGTTGGTGTTACAAGTCTGAGTCTCTGATGTTCTCACCAGCATGGAGCATAATGCCACATGTTGCTGTCTATCCAAACAGACATCAGACAGTTGTGTCCAACGTGACGTTCTGGAGAACAGAATCGAGAACTTTGCACCAGTGCAGTAACAAGTACAATTGTTGATGTCGCAGTGGGGCAGATTTGTGGGATGTTTCACCCTCAGAACCCCAAAGTGTTGCCTCATCTGCCACCTGCTGTTGAACTTCCTGCCACAGTTTAGGACGACTTCAACCTCGCTGTAACGGAGGAGCAGCCAACACCTAGTCCAGAGAGACACTGTGGTGATGCCAAATCCTCTGACACCTTCTGCAACTTCAGACCAGTGAGAATGTACCTGAAAACTCACTACTGGAGTTCCAGTTTTTCCAGCACCTCTGACTTCTCCTCCTGAACCTGCGCTCAATGCCGCAGTGCAAAATGACTTGATGAGAAACTTGACTGAAATGCAGCAGCCAACACCCAGTCCAGGGACAAACTCTGCTGTGGTTTCAGCTCCGACTCCTCCCGATGAATCTGTGATCATTACTACATTACAGACTAGGAGCTTGATTAAAACAGAGCAGGCAAAACCCAGTCCAGAGACAGACTCTGCTGTGATGTCATCTCCAAGAGCTCCTAACCAGGAGAAGGACCCAGAACCAACCAAAGAACGAGACTCTGCTGTGGTTCCACCTTTGATTCCTACTGATGAACTTAGTGAAACATCAGAAGTTGACTTGACTGGAAACTCTAATGAAACAAAGCAGTCTAGAGACAGAACCTGTTGTGGCGTCACCTCCTTCAACTCCCTGGACACCCCCTACTGAAACTACATACATTACTAATATCCAGAACTGTGAGATTACAAATGAAAAGCTCATCCTGGAGGAGGAGGAGGAGGATGTTTCTACATCACAGGATAGCTTTATCAGGAAATTGATTAAAACAGAGCAGCCAACACCCAGTCCAGAAACAGAGCCTGCTGTGGCGTCACCTCCACCTGACAGCTGGACACCCTTTACTGGAAGTTTGTACATTACTGAAATCCAAATGAAATGACGTAGCAAGTAAAAACCACATCCTGGAGGAAGAGGATGTTTCTACATCACATGATGACTTGACCAGGAAACTGACTAACTAACACCCAGTCCAACTCCATGAACACTCCTTACTGAAAGTCCATACATATCCAGAAAAGTGAGGTTACAGATATAAAGCCCAGAGTGGAGGAGGATGAGCCCAAACCCACCAGAAAACAAGAATCTACAGTGATTCAAGCTGCACTGACTTCTCTACGATCTCCTCCTGAACCTGTGGTCATTGTTAGAAATCATCAGAAGTCCAGATGACCAAGAAGAAGAAAGCAACGAAGTTCTTCTGCTGGTTATTTCAGCCACTGTGTTGTTGTTTCATTGGTAGCCACACAGACAGCGACTGATTATAACTGAAATGTTCAAAGGTTTAAAATGCCCGACTGTTCAATGTAAAAGAAAACTGTTTTAGAATTTGGAATATTTTTTCATTCACAACTTATGTGGAAAAAGAAACCAACTGTATTATTGTTTCAGGTTTTCCAATGTTGTTGCCTGTCTCATGAAACATCATACAGATGGTGAAAATCCACCAATACTGCTGCAAAATAGAGTTTGAATTGGAAAACTATCACAGAACAGTTTAACATGGTACATTACTCAAAACCTCACTGTGTCTAAAAAGTCAGAAGGAAAAGTGTGCACCGTGTCTACAGATTGTTTTTGTTTGTTGTCAGCAAATGTAGTCACACTACAAAGACAAAATACTCAGTTAAAGTAAAGGCACTATGTTTAAAATGTATTATTACCAACATATACTTAAAGAATCACGAGTTAAAACGTTGTAGTTAGGCAGAAAGGGAAAGATTTTCACTGTCATTTTACTGTCAGGTTTGTCATTTCTGGAACAATTTTCGAGAAACGTTCCAGAAAATAACTAGAATTCGGGACTAGTTTCAAAACATAAGAATTTCTATAAAAGAGACGGTACATTGAAGCCCAAACGAGTTGTTTTTTGTTACTATTATTATCAATATGGTGCATTATTGTTGTTGTTGTATAGAATATATGTTATATTGATTAAAAAAATAAAAACAAATTTTTAAAAAGTGAGCTTTTACAAGATTGAATTTCCCTTCTGGGATAAATAAAGTATTTTTCATTTCATTTCATTCATTAGCATTCCGGTGTAACTAATGTTAACTGCAGTGCAACTATATTAAGGATGTTTTTCTCTTGAAAAATAGCAGGCAGAAGGTGTAAAGCAGCATCAAACTGAAGTATCAAAACTGAGCTCAAGTACTGAACTTCAGTAAATCTACTTTCCTACCACTGCATAAATTTCTATTTCCTTACCCTAAAATATTCCAAAAAAAGTATAAATAGCATTCATAAGTCACCTAACAGCACTTCGCTACGAGGAAGGCACATAACCTCCAGTTGTTGCTATGGGGCTGCTGCAGCGGCCATTAAAATGCAGTTTTACTAGGAAACTCCCAGGTGTGACTGTGTGTAACTGAGTGTGAAGCACAGATTATTACTCAGGTTGTTCAGTCAGGCTTCTCCGGTTAAATGAAGGTTAAAAAGCTAAATATCAACAATCAATCATCTTTTATGACAGACTTACAGGTGATGTAGTAGTTGACGTTCCTCTTGAACTCCAAGCCCATGTAGTTGGGGCTGAACTCCTGGAATTTGATGGTGAACTTGATGTCCTTCTCGGGCTTGTTGCAGTTGACCAGGACGTTGGGATCGAGGACAGTACTGCAGCTCTCGGCCTGCTCCCTCTTCACCAGGTACAGTTTGTAGTACTCATAATCTCTTCCTTGGTCCGCTTTGGGACAGATGATGTCCAGCTTGTCCCCGATGTCCGGGTAGATCACCAAGCCTTTCCCAGCCACAAACCTGGAGGACGAGACGAAAAAGATAAACTGTTATTAACACGTAAAAAAGGAAGTCTGGAAAAGCAGCCATATAATTCAACAACAGTTTATACAGTCTTAATACTTTGAGCTATAGGAGTTATGGGTTTAGATTTGTCTGGCGTGGCCTTTACAGCTGAGTGTAGTTAATTTGGCCCCACAAAAAAACACTACATGTAGCAGCTTGAAGTTGTTCAGCATTAGTCAACAGAGCGTTTCACACAAATCCTCTGAAGTTCTCTCTCACACTTGGATCTGAATCAAAGCATACCAAAAGGAAACAAGACGGGCCGACACAAAATGGCTGCCGCAGAAAGGGCTATAGATAGGATTACATAGAAAGAATGCGACAGATTTCTTTTCTCATATTTTCGGAGTTCCAGATAAGACCGGTGCTTCCACATAATATCTACTTCAGAGGTCTGCGTTTCTGGAGGAAAACAGTGCGCAGGGGTCAGCTGGCAGGTTAAGGCTTCCTGGTTCATCTTCCTTCTGCCATGATCATCTAGTGGAGGATTAAGATAATCCATCTGGCCTTACTGTACCTCTCCACCTCGCTCTCGGCTGCCAACTCAATCAGATCAGCTCTTGTTCTCTTTTATTCACTAAAGGTGGGGAACAGGAGGAAACCCAGTGTGTGTGTGTGTGTGTGTGTGTGTGTGTGTAAGTGTGTGTGAAGAGAGGGGGTGGGGGCACTCTGAGTACTTGCAGTGTGTTTGGGCAGTGGTGTGTATGTTTATGCATGTCTGCATGTGTGTGTATGTGTGCTAGTCGGTCAGCAAAATGGGCTGAGGTTGCGGTCTGATGGGGGGGCAGTCGGGCTGAATCATTGTTCTGGACTTGTTTGAGGCTTAAAATGTCAACATGGTTCAGCTCTGCTGTCCCAGTTAGCCAAGCATTAACCCAGACAGCCGGACTGACCACGGGTGTGTTTATGTACGTGCATGTATGTGTGTATGTGTGTGTTGTGGTTGCAGACAGCGAGCACAGCAGCGGGGCTATCTGCTAGATCTGCCCATGCCAGCGGATTTAAGCAGGATTTAGCAGCGCGCAATGCATTTGTTGTTCTTTCTGATCCCTCACGTTTTAACAAGACATCAGGGGCCGGGCCCCTCTCTGTCTCTCACTGTCTCGCCCTTCTTTTTCTCTCAGAGTGTAATCTAACCTTATCTACAGCCCCTCATTTCATCATCACACACATCATTTCACCACTAAATAACTGACTCTTCAGACAGGCCCAGCGAGAGGAGGACCGTGATGCCTCCTGACAGAGACTGATAGAGAAGTGTGAGTGCAAGTGGAGGTGGGGGGGGGGCATCAAATCGCCAACCCTCTGCTGATGTTTAACGCTGGCAAACAGCCAGCCATTGTAAGAAACGATCATTTTAAAAAAGTCCCATTTTCTGAAGGAACACCCCCCCCATGAAAATGAACATGATTGGATTAACATTCATGGCCATTCTTCTTGGAAAGGGGCATTACCAAATAAATGACTTCATTCACAAAAGAGATAAATGCAAAATGAAATTTGCAAAACGGTCAAAATCCTCTATGTCAACCCCCACTTCTTGTCTTTTTGTCTGTTTTTTTTTTTTTTTTGCTGAATATGATGTCATGAAAGCATGTGCGGATGGAAGCTCTTGTGCAGGGCTTGGAAGCGGGTGAGACGTTATTTCCCTACTATTGTCTGATGCACACGGGGGTGAGGAGGGGGCCGGTGGGGTGAGGGGAGGGGTTGCGCTAATTCAAGGGCCGATAAGAGAGAGAACGCGGGGTCTCCTTTTGTCCTACATCGCCCAACAATTTGCTGGTTTTCAACAGCAACACTCTGCATGTGCTCCTCTGTGTGTGTGTGTGTGTGTGTGTGTGTGCATAAGCATACATATGTTTGTGTGTGTGTGTGTGTGTGTGTGCGTGTGTGTGTGTGTGTGCACGCCATGCATGAGTACACGTGCATGAGTCTATGAAGACACAGACACAATCAGTCTCTAATTGGATCTACAAGATGCATCAGTGAGGCATAAACAAGTTTCCATGGCAACATTAGGCTTTGTTGCTGACCACCCCCTCCCCTCCCCACCTTCTCTCGATTCCTCCCTCGATCCCCCCCAATCTCAGCCCCCTCTATTTCTGCGAGGCAATCTCATTCCCTCTCGCTTTATCCTTCCCTCTCATTCACCTCCTCAACATTTCCTTCATTCTGTTTTTCTCTCATCGCCTCCCTCTCCATCCTCCCCCTCACTCCTCCTCCTCCTCCTCCTCCCCCCCTCTCATTCTTTCTCTACACACAAAAAAACACCTACAGAAAAACAAGCATGAAACCAGAGGAGAAATCACAATTAGACCTCGATTTGTTTCCCTCAACAAGTAGCTGTTTTCTATTTTCCTTGTAGGTACCAAAAAAAAAAAATTCTTGGCAACTTTTTTTCTTCAAATGTTGTTTCACAAGTGTTAAAAATTCCAAAAAGTCTGGCTCAGGAATAAAACAATGAGCCTTAAACCCCCATTTTCTCAGTTTTACAACCCGTTTATTCCATTATCAAAGCAAGGCGCAACAATTTAGATGAATAATTAAGATTTCCAAAATCTTAATGTCTTAATATCCCTGAAGGATTTAATCGCAAGCCGGCCCCTGTCATTGATTCAATTTTCCGAGCAGGCCTCCTAGTTGGCCGTTAGATAGCTATCCTAAGTGAATTCTCCGCTTCTGTTTCCCAGCCTTTGTTAACTGTCTGCTATAATGAGGCTCTGGCTGCTGTGGAGGTCTGGAAGCGCCATCGCAGATGGGAAAGAAGCAACATAAAAGAAATAGGGCAGCAATTAGTGTTTAGCCCAGTTTAAAAGCCCTCCACTTGGCAAGCTGCAGCCCAGCTCCAGTCCAGGATGTGAAACTAAACTGGTGGGCTGGGACTTTGTCTCCTGTTTGTCTCTCCGTTGGCTTAATCAGCACCACTCCGGTGCTACACACAGCCACGCAATGGAGAGGAGGAGACGAGTGACTGAAGATTATTGTACTTTTGAGGAGGTCGAAAGGGAAAAAAGGGGGGAAAAGGGAGGTTTGAATTGCATCTTTCATTCATGTTGTCTGGAGACTTTATAAGACCTGTTGATGAAAGAAGTTTGAGTGCACAGAGGAAGAGCTGTGCAGATACAAATAATGTTTCTGGGAAATGACCCCGAACCAGAGCGAGCCTTTATCCCCCTCATGTCAAACGAGGTGGATCTGCCTGGACCAAACAAAATAAAGAGAATCATTTTCAAAACAACCAAATGAGGTTGGTTTTGTTTCATCTGGATGGCTCCACAGCGTGCTCAATCCTGTAAAGAGCTTATACAAACAGACCTACGCTACAGCACAGTGGAGAGAGAACAGAAAACAACGAAGCAAAAGAGGAGAGGAGAACCCCCTCCTCTCCTCTTTTTACATTCCACTGGTGAATATGAGCACATGATCTCACATATGCTACACCCCCCCACCACCTCCTCATGCACATACACACACACGGATGTGAGAGCACACAAAAGCACTGTGGGGTGCATCCTGGACCTTCCCAGCCCAACTTCCCAGCCACCCCTATTCAAGCACCCTGCCCTCACCGACTTTCATATAAAACGCCGCCTACACTAAGGCCCACTCAAAGCCCCTTACAGAGCCTCAAACCACCCCTTCCCCCATGTTCTCCACCCCCGTCCAGTCAACTCGAGCCTCTGCCCCGAGCGTTGCACTGGCAGGCAGCCTCGGCAGCCGAATGAATGGACCCGAGGCACAGGAACTGAGAGAGAAAGAGGCAGAGGCAGCTCATATCAACAGAATGGTGTCAAATTGATTTGTTCCTCCTGAGCAGCAGCATGAACATGCCATACATATCAATTAAAATCAATTATATTCTACTACGTAATCCAGCTCTACCAGGGGAACATGCCAACGGCCCCAGATGCAGGTGCTACCTCTTCTTGATGTCTCATTTCTGCAGCTGGACATGCAAAGCCTTTCTGTCTGGCTTTTAAAATGCACATGAGTGCGTCATGTGAAAGCAAACACACACTCTCCACACATACACACAACAGGTACTCTATTCCCTCTGATATCTGTGTGGTAATTATCACACCAGGAGAAGTGTTCCCTCACCAATTATTATTTCTCTCCTACATTATCCACAAAATCCGCGCTGCTGCTTCCCCCTGTTATTAGAGTTGGCACTTTCCATATGGCAGAGATATTTACTGCCCCTTCAATCAATATCCCATAGACTCACAGGTCGGACAGACATTATGGTTCCGTGTGAAACATTACAGTAACTCACCCACATGACACTTCAGCCTGTAAAGAACACAAACTGGTGTTATGCAAAGCGTGTTGTAGTTGAGCTCTTGTGTAATGTATTTTTCAGCAGGGATTTATTTGCTCGGGGCGGTCTACGTTTTGTGTAATCACAGGGCACAAATGCGTCCTGTTCTCATTCAAGTCAATCAATATCAAATAATCGTCCGCCAGCAGCGACAGTCTCGGTCTTAAACCGCTTTCAGATCCATCTAGATAGAGCCACATGCCCGCTCGGCCTCACAATGGAGACATTGAGGCAGCAGCTTCTGAAATGGCTTCACTCTTGATGTGTGGTTTAGATCTGCTGAGAGCTGTTGACACAGTGTGATCATTTCATACTCGGGGAGAAAAGGCACATATCATCAAACTGTCAGTATGTTTGCTCCAGAGAGATTCGCCACATCTACAGCTCTGTCCCGGCGAGATCTGAAAAGCAGTCGAGAACCGTCTCCAACGTGGGGGTCGACGCCGCGAGAAGGTGAGCCGCTCGTGGGCCCGTCCCCGTCGCCCCGCGGCTCAACCCCATCGCTTGTATACATAGCTGGCTTCTGTCAGGCTGTCGCGGGGGCAGATGTTCTTAGGGAGGCCCGACTATAAACACACACACATAAACACACGCCCCGCAGTGTACACACACCGATTTCCTCACATGTCAAACA